TCCTTCATCCCTTCTCCCCGTGTGTCCTGTCCTGTGCTTTGCTGGGGAGGGGCCAGTCTGGGGGTAGCGAAGGCCCTGACTCACACCTCCTGACCCAACTAGGCAGGCCCCAGGGAGGACCTAGGTGAACTACAGCAGTCAATACTCCACGGAGTCTTTGGAAAGAGAGGTCAGTAGCAGGAAGGAAGGCTAGGAGGGCTTCCTGGAGGATGAGGTGGCCAGGGAGGAAGGGGCAGTCAGGGATGGTCACTGAGGATGCCTGGCCAACCCAAGCCAAGGAAAAGTCATGGCAAAGCTTGGAAGGGAGAAGGCCTGAGCCAGGTCTGAGGACGCCAGGGGGGCCAGGTCAGCTCTGCTCAGGACTGGGGCTTCAGGAGCTCAGGGGAACTTGCTGAGGGTACTGGAGAGGGGACAATTGTAGGAGCAGGCACTGCCTGATGCGACAGCCTTTCCTCTGAGACAGTGCAAGGCGGTCAGGGATCAGTTTCAAAGCAAAACGGAGCCTCAACTTTCTGCCAGTCTGCCTAGCATGACGCTGCTCAGCGTCGTTCCAGGATTCAAGTCCTGGGCTGTGGGCTGAAGAAAGGCCAGGCCTGTGTGCACTGGAGCCCCAGCATTCCTTTTCCACTGAAAGCCTCAGTTTCCTCATCTTTAAAAGGGGACACTGTTCCCAACACACACGCTTCTCAGGGTTGTCAAGAGACCAGGTGAATGTTTTGTAAACAAGGAAGCCCCAGCAGAAATGCGAGAGCTGGGTTATTTCTGCAGCCTGGTTGCCATTATTTTTCCAGGCCTGTGTCTCTCGGCCCAGCTAGTAACGACGCAGGGAAGGCTCCAAACTAATCCCAGCTTGAGTCTCAGCTGTGGGCGGGAGCTCCCTGTCTGGAGGCTCCACAGACATCTGTGTGGGTGGGGATCATGGGAGATGGGAGAAGATGGGGAGGGGAAGGAAGGGGAGATGGGGCCTGCAGAAATCTCTAAGTTTTTGATTCATAAAGAATCAAAAGCCTTCTCCCTTCTTTTTTCATTCCTAAAAAGAAAGCTCTTTTTCTCCAAACACAGTCTCCTAAGCAGCACCCTCCAAACCCCCAGTCCTTACTTGGTCAGCAATTAGCCCCTAACAAAGACCAGGTGCCTCACTGACATGGGGAGAAGAAAAACAAGGGACAAGTTGTAGAATCAATGGGCTTTATTGCCACCAAGGACAACTGGGTACAGCCCCCGCCCCAGGCCTCCTAGGGTGCCTGGATAGAAGTGCTTAAGTTTGCTAAAATCTCCATAGAACAGCAGTAATTGCCTTCTTAGTGGATCCCAGCAGACATTCATCAAACACCTACTGTATGCAGCTGCCTCTGGAAGGAAAAGTTTAAGCTTCACACTGACTTTCATCAAGAGAGGTGATGTGTGTAAAGGTGCATGCACACTATGAGGTACAGGATGTGCAGGACAGCAGCTAGAGAGGGAGGAGAAAAGACGAGCACTTGTTGAGCACCTGTTGCACACCAGGCCTGGGCTAGCTACTTGAGGTACATTAAAACGTTTCATTCTCATAAACCCAACTTTATAAATGAGGAAACTGAGCCACAGAGAGGTGAAGGGACTTGTTCAAGGTTCGACAACCAAGTGGGAGAGCTGGGATTTAAACCCGGGTCTGGCACTCTCTCCTCTTCTCCACCATCGTGGTGTGTGCGGTGGCCTCCCATCCTCACCATGTCTTCTGACAAGACTTTCAGGATCAAGCGATTCCTGGACAAGAAACAAAAGCAAAATCGGCCCGTTCTCCAGTAGATTCAGATGAAAACCAATAATAAAATAAGCTACAACTCCAAGAAGAGACATTAGAAAAGAACCACGCTGGGTCTATAAAGAATTGCCCCTGAGGGGCCGGCCCAGTGGCGCACTGGAGAGTGCGCCGCTTGGGAGCGTGGCGGCGCTCCCGCCGAGGGTTCGGATCCCATGTGGAGACCGGTTCCCGCTCACTGGCTGAGCATGGTGCGGGCGCAACACTGAGGGTTGCGATCCCGTTGCCGGTC